ATTCTTCTTTGACAGATCTCTCAGCTCATCTCTCTTATCAACAACCTTCAGCTAAAAGGTCCCAGACCAAGTTTCCTTTTCCACATCAAAGCTTCTTAAATCACTCTGCCAAGAACACCGTGGTCAAAGATGACGATACTCTCAAGTCTGGATTATGTTCACATCAGTTATAAAAGGGTATCTGGCACTGCCCTCAAATACTGATAACAGTGTGGGTGTCAGTGATATACTTCACAGCTAGCTATCATACTACAGAAGGTTAAACAAAGATCAAATCAACCTTATAATCCCTGACACTGTTATTATTTTGGCCAACAGCTAACATCCGGTAATGCTTTCAAAATAAAAATCCAATTTATTGCCATTTCCCTTTAACAAATAAAACATTAGTTATCACCACAATGAAACATATACATCAGCAATATACATAAAAAATGACAAAAACATTTTGTGTCGTATTTTGAAATGATGATGATGAATATCGTTATTAATCACGATAAATTACGACCGTGATTAATTGTGAATAATCCACAGCTAGCCTGTGATTAATCTTAATTAAAATTGTTAATGCATTTTATGTGGGTATGTGTGGGTTTGTACGGGAGAGAGAGAGAGAGAGAAAGAGAGACGGGGAGGGAAAAAGAGAGGGCGGGAGGAAAGCAGGAAGGAAGGGAGAGAAAGAGAGGGTGAGAGGAGACTCCTCCAGATGTCTGTCTGTGCAGATTAATATCTGCAGACCACAATGGCCCCTCTCAGGACAATTTGTCAGGACAATGAATCCACTGTCTGACAACAGCATCTACAACTGCAGCTCACCTATACCGGCACTTAGTCATGTGATCACAGGAAGCTCACTCTCCCCGCACTAAAAGGTGATAATTGAATAAAAGAGCTGTGCTCCCAGATCTCTGGAAGCTTTTTCACTCTGCCATTCATCCAGACTGCAGGACAGTTAGAGTCAGAAAGGTCGATTGCTTTCACAGGTCTGCCTCTGTTTGTGTCTTTCTGGCTGGAAAGTCCAGTGTTAATATGAATATTCCTATTAGTATGTCTGCCTGAGGACATAATGACTTTAATTCAAAAGTTTCTAACTCTAATGGGCTATTAATATGTGCTTTATCCATAGTCTTAACTACACAAAGTCAGACACTCGTGTACGCTCAGAGAGATGTGGACACCCTCCGACAAATATAGTTGGTGACCTCTGCCCTACAGGAAAAGGATCAGAGACTCCATCCTCACTGGTGACTGATGAACCTTTTTGTTGGTACCCTGTAGAATCCCCCCTCTCCTCACCCCATCCCTTCTCTCTCTACTATGCTTTCCTCACACTGTCTAAAACTTACAGTATTAGGTAAGTTTGATGCTCTGAATTGACCATACTGAAATATGTTCAAAGACTGAATTACTGTAGATCCAGGTGGACATGTTACTTGGGGTGGTCTGCAGAAAAACACAGTAAAATATGAACATATTCCCCATTGAATGTAAGCAGGTTACCTTGTTTTATAGTTGGCCTCAATTGAAATGCTAATTGGTTCACAGCTATTTTAGTTTGGGAACCAATTGATACTGTATGTATCTTAAACACAGTTTTCTAGTTGAGTTCCTAATTTAGGAGTACCAGCTCAAATTCATCAGTGGGCTACGCAGAGGGAGACGTTGTCAACTCCGGAGGCTGGCAAATCTGGTACAACAGTCGTGTTATTGACCCAAATATTTGTTTGAATCAGTCATGCAGCAGATACTCCACTTAAAACAACCCTCGGCTGCTTATTTAAGCTTGTGGCTAGAAGTGTCAAGAAGACAGGATTTAACAACACATTTTAAATGGTGTGGAAGTTAAATAAAAAAAACACCTCTTCTGTGTCTCTGTCTGACATGTTTTCTACGGCCTGTCATGTCCTGCACATTTTGCTGGATTTCATTTTGCCCGTTTTATACAGAAATGTGTTATGTAACATATTCAGGACAACAGCCAGTGAGCGTGAACGGGAATTGAGTGGAAGGTCTTCTTTTTATTTATTTATTTTTTATTTTTTTATTCACGGTTTGCCTCACATGCGTTGACGCTCTCCTTTCCATGCACAGATGACCTCTACTAACCATTCATGACCTGGAAATAAACACTTACATCAGCACAGGAGAATTCTGCCTCTGGCTCAGATAGAGAGGGAGAGGAGGAAGACACACACTCTATTTTAAAACCATCAGAGTGGAGGATGTGCATGAGTGTCCTCTGAAACACAAAGAGGGAGAGAGGGAGAGAGTGGGGGGGTGGGAGGGTGTAGATGGACAGATGATAGATAGATAGATAGATAGATAGATAGATATTTCCGTGTAAATATGCAAGAAACAATTCACCTCTGTCACAGAAGGGGGCAGAAATTAGCTAAAAAAGAGCAGTGGACTAAAACCCTTGAGGCAAACTCCATCTGTTTACTTCCTGTCTTCTTAAATAAATATCTCCCTAACATTTACACAGAAATGTCTTTGGTAGAAACTCACATTGTTCCATGTACTGTATGTTTTTATGAACACTTTCATATACTATGATAGACTAATTATATGTAATACAAATACATAATAATAAGGATAGGAACAAATCCCTTTTAACTTCATGCTAATCTGCCCTGAAGTCAGAAAAACCAAGGAAATGGATTCTGGTTTTGGTGATCGCTGTAGCTAGTTAGAAAGTCATATAAAAGTACATGTAGGAAAACAAAAAAACAAGAATGGAGGATGGAGACGAATTGGCATAGAGGGACATAAAAGGGCAGCTGTATGTATCCAGTCACAGGTGGGGTTGATAAGACAGCCACTATGGAGTGATCAAGGAACTGGGAACCAAAGAGCTGAGATGAGAATAACAACCCACAATGACAAATGCCAGAGTCTCAGGGAAGTAGAATAACAAGAGTTAGTTTGGACAGGATGTTGGATTCAGGGGCAAAGATGAAGCACAAAGAAAAGTTTAGCTGGAAAAGCAAAACTATTAACTGGGAAGAATGGGGAGCTAAAATGCACAGACATTATAGTAAAAACTCGCGTATCATTTTGTCACTCTTACTGAGAGGTTTCTGTCCCCTGGAGGAGTTGAGTCTGAAAGGGAAACATTTGTTCACTGGCACTTTTCTGGTACATTTTATTAAGACTCTGCTAAAATAAATAGTGCTAAACCAATCAAGTTATCGGGAGTTAGAGGCAGCTGCAGCCACCCAGTGGTTAAAGGTTCACTCTTGTTAATTAGAGGTTTACCAATGGGATGTTGAAGAGACCTCACTCTCAGTACATCACAACAAGGGCAGTCTGTGTGTCAACAATGAATGGGTTAAACAGAGATACCCAACAAATTCCATTTGGATGATTTCAGTACTCCCCTAAAGTCAGTTAAAAACATTTAATTAAAGTGTAGTACCCAAAACAGCTTTGTGAGTTTCCTAGCTGCAGTCTCCAGTTGTTGTGAGATGTCAACAACAAACATTACAGTCAGTCCATTTGAAAGTCTTCTTTGCACCTGAGTGGATTTTTTTACAAACTAAACACAAAGGTCAGGTTCTGTCATAAGTGAAAAGAAGTGTTACTTTCCCAAACCAACTAGACGTCTAGAAACTCTATCAGGACAGTTTCTCTACACCTGGATAATTCTATCTTTTAACAGAAAATACTTGCAAAGGCACTGATCGGCACTGAGGTTTCTCTGATCGGCTCACTTAGGTTTTTTGTACTGAAATTACTTTTGGTTATACAATTTCCACCATTTCAAACAAGGTTTAAAGGCATTTACTGTAGCAACACGTAATTCTTTCAGTATCTCTGACTCTGACATCGCTTAGCTTAACACATGACCTTATTCAATTTTAAATTGTTTGGAACCATTAAGGAGAAAGTTTATGAACAGGAGGGAGTGCCGTGAATATTTCTGGGTCTATTCTCACTTTGCTGGTATGACTGGAGTGAGTAGCTGTGGCAGAATGGTTTTCAGCAAATGTGCAAAACTGTGACCACAGTGCATTCTTTAGCCCACAGATTGATTTGGGTTTATTGAATCTTGCCTGTGCAGTTTCCCTCTGTTGGCTAGCAGTGCAAATCAGGGCCAACTGCTGTCTTCTGCTGCCAAATGCAATGATTCCTTCCTGTTGAGAAAAGTAAACAGGACTCTTCTTTTCCATCTCGGTTAACCTTAGGTAACAACCTATCACTGTAAAGATTGTTAGGAATTTCTCTCAATCGTTAGGGGTGGAGAGATCCACAGGTTAGCAATAGCTTCATTGTTATAGTTACACTAGCAAATGTTTATTACTGAGATTTACAGACATATGTAATGGTTAAACATATTTTTGAAAAGAATAAAATTTGACAGGTTTTCTAGGCTCAGTTCTGCTGAGCCTACAAGGGGTTTTTAAACTGAAGATTGTCTTTACAATATAACAGTTTTGTTACATATGTTTGAATTATAACCAAAAATATATCTGTAAAACCATAATATATATGGCAGATGTAATTTGTAAACAAACCCTTGCATTATCAGAATTAGTAGTTTGTAATTTAAACCTCCTGCATAAAAAATGTATTATGGCTTTACGTATATATTGAACGTCTACAAATAGCTTAACAAAATGAAGTTGAGCATAAAAAATAAAATTATGAAAGAACTTGTCTGTATTCTTATTGCTTTTTGTTTGCATTAGTATGACTACAGGATAAATTCTCTACACCGTATGGATATTTTCGTTAATTATCACGTTTACAATGTGCTTCTGTAGAAACCTTTGGAACATAATATACCAGGGTTGCATGTTACAGAAAAAATATAAGATGGCCAAAATGTTTTGTGTATAATAAAAAAAGGTTCCCTGTTTATATTGGAGCCTTTAAAATGTTTTTAAGTCCCCCTACATTATTATTCCTGTTTATATTGGAGCCTTTAAAATGTCTTTGACTTTTTTAAAATGACTTTTAAATGACTTTAAAAGTCCCCCTACATTATTATCAAATGTTTTGTGTATAATAAAAAAAGGTTCCCTGTTTATATTGGAGCCTTTAAAATGTTTTTAAGTCCCCCTACATTATTATTTTTTACTTCAAGTTCTTAACTGTTCCTCGTCACACGAGTGTTAGTGTGAGTGAATTGCTGTTTGAGATTACAACCGTGTGACGAAAGAGCAGATAAAAAGGATGATGGGAATGATGCGGGAACGATGGTTAAATTTAGCTCTGTCCACCTTTTATAAACAGACTTTCACGATTTTCCCCACGATTTCTCGTAAAGATCTTCAAATCTCAGTCGGGTTCACATCTCTAGTGATTTTATATTATCGCTAAGGTGATGTTGTTTTCTTCTCTGGGCTTACGCTGGCGCACTATTTAACGGGAGGTTCCCATTATTCCGGTCCGGCGGAGGGATCGGATCATGTAAGGAGGCTCAGCTTGTCAGTCAGACTTTCAATGGTTCCTGTGGCGCCTCATCACCACCACCACCCTCATCTTCACTGTTAATCCCTGACTGCTGCTTTAACCACAACACTCGAGCTCTTACAAACAGAGTAAAAATGAAGAGACAGTGAAGGAAAAAATACCTGACAACCCCGTCACCACCAGAAGGAGTAATAGCAGGGGGTTGACCGAAAAGCGGAGGAGATTCTAAGCGTTCAGCAGCTCACGTTACTCGGAGAGTTGCGAGGATGATGATGACCATGGTCAGGTCAAGGGATTTTCTCTTAGCCTCGCTTCTTGTCGCATGTGCAGGTAAATAACAGTCTAATTTTCCTTGTTAACTATTCGTTTTAAACGGGGTTAGATGTACGTCTTCCTTGCATCGTGTCTGTGTGTGTGGTATTTGTAGGCTTCTCACAGCGGTCAGGACCGCAGCCTCCTCCAGTCCTCCCTCTGCCTCCGCCCGCAGGTGCAGCAGCTGCTGCCCCTCACTCTCTATTTTTAAACTAAAGGCATTTCCCAGCAGAAAACAGCTTCAACGTCACACAAGAATTCAAACAAAAATACGTTTTAAGAACTCCTCACTTCATATAAAAACATGTCTAATGGTGGCTGGACTGCATTCTTGCGTGACCACCCCCCTAACGATGACTTGGCGTTATTTAGTGCGTTAAATAAAAGATGATGGTACGTGTAGATGATGCTCTAACCTCAGAGTGGCTGTGAGTGGAAACATGGCGTGGGGTTAGAACCCACACATTTGTGCTGCGCCTGTTTTGCTGCTGTTGCTGCTTTACTGTGTATGACTGGATGGTGGGACGTGTTTTTTTATTTGTGTGAGAATGCTGCTGGGCTTCCTCAGTGTTTGAAGAAATACACGCACACACACGTCCGCCCTCCCTCCAACACCCTCCCCCCTACACACACACACACACACACACACAAAGGCAATATATTGACTTTATTCACCTGGACCCTAACCAGATATTATCTCTAAAGTGAACCATTAATTTCAACAGATCCATTTAGGATGGAACCCATTTTGCTTTGATGCAATAAACTGAGGGAGTGGTTGTGACAAAGAAAATGGCAAAAAACTACAACTACATACATATACAACTGCTCAGCTTTATTTTTTGGGGTGGGGGGGGTGTGTCGGTGGGGGTAAGTTGGATTAGCAACAAACTACAGGGTGGTACAGCACCTATTTAATTTCCCAGACTTTAATGGTTACAGGTGACTTGAAAACCAGTGAAGGATGAAAAGTCTTCTCTGGAAATCCACCATTCAATCATTTTCATTTTTGTAAATCTCCTAGGGGCAGCACAGGGCATGTTGAATCCTGCTGACTAATGTCATGGGAGTCTGATTTGGTGGCGCCGTTAGACAGACAGCAAAGGTTTGCTAAATTATGGTAGAGGAGATTTAATGGAAGGGATTTCAATTTTCTAATTTTACATGTTCATACTGAGGAATTTAGGTAGCTTTTATCACTTACACGTGAGCTTTGATTTTTAATTTTTTGTATATATTATCCCTGAGGTTGGGAGAGACACGGTCCTCTGGCGAACATCTGTAACTCAACCACACCTAGGTACTCAGTGTAGCGAGGTTTTATTCATTATACTGAGCCAGTATATATTTTTATTCTCGAGTAGAGCAGAAATCAAAAGCTCAGAACCGTCTGTGATACTCTGACTCTCTAGTGGTAGGAAAACCTTTCATGTTGATGATGAAACCTTATATTTTTCTATAATATTACATACTTTTAATATTAAAATGCTCATGATGTCTCAAGGAACAGTTTTGGTTGTTGGTTTTGTCTCTGCTGCAGTGATGTGCTACAAGCTCAGCTCTATTCTGAATAATCTCTTATGTAATTTCATGCTGTGATAAAGGCTGGAAAGATATTCTCTAAACTGGCGAAAAACGTTGTTACGTAAGTCTGTTTGAAACAGATTAATAAAAAAAAACATTTATCAATCATGCACTTGTCATCTGCTACGGTTAGGTTGCTGTGATTTTGTCCTTTTTGGACCATACAATAAACATCAGCTGTAGCACAACGTTGCTAAAATTTAATCATATAAACTAAACACTCTAACTAGCTATAAAATAAACTAACTAGAAATAAATACAAAAATGTGTGAATAAATATATTAAGTGAGAAATTATACACAACAGATATTACGAGAACATTAACAAGACAAGACCTGGACTTCAAGATTACGGAGCCTGATGTTGACTGATTACTCCGTGTTTTACTACTTACACGCCTTTCCATTGACTGAAGGTAGTAATTTGACACGTCAAGTCCTCTGATCTTGACAACTTTTCTTTACTGCTCTGAGACAGTGTGGTTTGTCAGGGTTTCCATTTCATTCTTACGTGTAGGATCTGAGAGAGGGTATTCAAAACTAAACTCTGAATCCACTCAATATTTGGATAATTAGACAGACAGACAGTCAGAAATGGATTATCTTTCTGCCACAGGAGTGTTTACTGCATTTGAATCCACCACTATACAGCACATTGCATACGGTAAAATGTTTAGGTTCTGCAAAGACTTCACACTACAGATCTCACAATATTGTTGTCAGCCGGCAGATCTAGAGCGCAGTCTTATTTAGATAAGCCCCTCCACAGATAACAGTACAGATGCCTCTTCTTTTTTTTTAATGCAGCCTTTATGTAACAAGGAAAGTCTTGTTGAGATTAAAAATCTCTTGCAGGGTTTCCCAGACCAAGACATGGAGCTGCAGCTTTCAGAAAACTGATAGCTGTTTTCCGCTTCTCGAGCCTTCAGTCTAGCCTTGACTTATTTTTATAAGAAATTTAGATTTCTGTTGATTTAAATTCTATTTCTGATTCATGATATGTACAAATGTGTACCCAGAAACTAAGCACTCCACATGTACAAATGCTACCTATTTAAATGTCATCATACTGCCTGGTTGAATACACTGATTTATCCCTTTTGTATTTAAAAGACAACACCTAAGATATCCTTTTTTTTTATAGTGGAGCTAAAATAAGACTGTTTATTCACTGTCTTATAAATACACTGTTTTTATTTGATGTTTTCTTTCTGAAAGAACTTTTAATCCCTGGGCAGTTTACTGAAGGCAAAGAAAATTCCGACTTGTCAATAGGTGACTTTATGGCTGCTGCAGTATTGACTGAACTTAGACAAGAAAGGAATTAACCATTTTTATCTTCTGCCAGCTGCTGAAGAGGAGCAATATATTTCGTATGTGCTGATTGTTCGATTTTATGTTTAGCCAACATCAGTTATACATGGCAGGGCGGGCTGACATCAGTGACCACAGCCAAATCAAAGAGTCATTTTTAAACAGGAGTGAAAATGGCCTTCATTTAAAATATCCAGATTTAAAATACAAACATTTGTGGGTATTTTACTCAGATTTGACTTAGTCTGTTAATTATAAACCTTGGCGCTGTCACCATTCATCTCCAGGGTTCACCAATTAATTTGAACCAAGATTCTGTTACTCTGTGTCAGCGGTTGCCAGACTTTGTTGCAGCACAGCCTTTTGTACACAGTAATATTAGAGGGCACCCCCACGTCGATTTACATTCACAGCTATTGGTTTAAATCATCACAAATTTAATTTAAATGATTAATTTCTACAAAATTAGTATACCTAATAAACAAATGTATTAAAATGAAAAGCAGACCAAATATAACTGAAGTTCCTTTTGGATTCTGCTATGACTAATGAAACTTCAAGGCAGTTACCCTGTAGGGGGCAGTGTTCCCAACTTTGAAATCCAATGTTTTAAGCTTCTTATGTTCCCTATATCATTGTGGAACAATAGCTGACACTTGGACAGAGAATGTTTTATATTCCCTGATAGCAAGATGGTTAGCATATTAGCACTATGTGTATGTCAGGACAAAAACCAACAGCCATATGATCCTCGACATGCTCACTGCTATTCAATACCTATTCTTAAACATCCATTGTAGAACCCCACAGGGGTAATTGTACGTGCAGAGTGCTGAGTGCTAGCTGCGTTCTTCTGTGAAATTTGAATGATGGTATTTTAGTGAGACTAAGGTGTGCACAATTAGAAAATTGTACACCTTTTCTTAGTATGACACCTTTCATACCAGGCTTTTTAGTATTTCTAATGTCCACAGTTTGTCAGATCATTTATTGCTCATTTCTTTTCAATTATTGTAAGAATGTACCGGATTTGACCTTTTTAAAAGCTTTTGCTTAGAACCATAGGGAAATTCAGCAAGGTCCCAGTCCTTGCTGAATCCTTGAAGATCAGCAGTAATGCAAGGCACAAAAACTTCAGGTGCAGGTGCGGATTGCAAAGATGCCCATACTTGTGGTTATATGAGAATCAAGAGCAATTTTTTAATTTGCTAAAAGATAATTAGAAGATCTTAAGAACCCACACCCGCTCCACATCAGTCTTAGCCACACTAACACAGGGTTAGTATGAAGATCAGATATGAACACTGTATATTCATTAATATTCAAATAATTTTCTCATAGACAAGGACAGTTCTTCAAACAGATTATCTTGGCTGCTCCCTTCACAGCAGCGGCAGTTGATGGTCTGTGAAACAAGGGGAGCTCATATTAGGCCCAGCAATTTTACAATTAAGTTCTGTTCCCCGTTGTATTTGCTCTGTTAAATTTACACTGATGCATATCCAAATCGTCTGCAGTTTTTTTTTAAATGAAAAAAATATTTTTTGGCAACTGTTGTTGTTGCAGTTCTTAATAATGGGTGGTTGAAGTGAAGAAGGTGTTGCTGCTGCTGTACTCTGTAACCATCCAAGCTGTGTTGTCTTGGCTTTCTCACTGGTCATGGCACCATAGGAACTCCCTGTACTGATATATGCTATAATTTGCTGGCAACATTCACCTGAAACAACTATATTTATATTTGATGGTACTATGGTGTATTTATATAAATATATATATATATATATATAACTGCAGTTGTAGGACAGTACCTTGTCTGCTCACATATGTATCGGCAAAAAGGAATGTCACCTTTGTCAAACCCAAGTTTTCTGCTCAGTGCTGTCAGAATTGGCTCGGGTACTTACATTTCGATGAATCATTTTATCCTCACAGTAAGACTCAAATCTGTTATTTGACTGCCTTAGTCACTGCAGTTGGGAGAGTGCTGCAAGGCTACTGTGACACCCAATGGTGTCTTATGTTGCAACTTGGAGCAATTTACCAATAGTGTTAAATCCACCTTCAGTCCTTCAGTTTTCTGTTTCTACGTTGTGACTGATTTTATATGGAATGCCACTTAAC